AGGCAAACTAACTCTCCCTAAGTGTGGTTACTTAAAGCATCTTCCTAGTTTACTAAATCTATATTTCATCTCCTACTTTTTCCACTACTATTCAACACTCTACTTCCTCCTACTGATCCACATACCTTGGAGTTATCCAGAATTCCTTTTTTTGGGGGGGATAGATCATAAGGCGAGCGCTCTACCACTTGAGCTATACAGCGCTACTTCCGGTTTTCTGGTGGTTTATTGGAGATAAGAATTTCACAGACTTTCCTGCCCGGGCTGGCTTTGAACCTCGATCCTCAGATCTCAGCCTCCTGAGTAGCTAGGATTACACATATGAGCCACTGGCACTTGGCTCTCCAGAATTCTATACCTGGCCCTCAGCTATTTCTAACAGTAATTCTTAGGCATTTGTTGTGGGGTCCAGACAAAAGCATTTCTTTTTTTTTTTTTTGGGTCCGGTCGTGGGGTCTGAACTCTTGGCCTGAGTGCTGTCCCTCAGCTCTTCCGCTCAGGGCTAGCACTCTACCACTTGAGCCACAGCGCCACTTCTGGCTTTTTTTTTCTGCTTATGTGGTGCTGAGGAATCGAACCCAGGGCCTTAAGCATCCAAGGCGAGCGCTCTACCACTGAGCCAACTTCCCAGCCCAGCATTTCTATTTTTTAACAAGTTTGACAAGCAATTAAAATTAACACAGCACATCCTACAATTTTCCAATTGAGAATTATAGTCTATCCTGGTAATTTCATTTAATCCTGTCACATTTTCAACCACTACTTGTACAATGATACTGTAGTTAACTCTATTTATTTATTTATTTTTGGGTCTAGTCGTGGGGCCTGAACTCTGGGCCTGGGCGCTTTCTCTCAGCTCTTCAGCTCAAGGTTGGTGCTCTACCACTTGAGCCTCAGCCCCACTTCCGGCTTTTTTCTTTTTGCTTATGTGGTGCTGAGGAATCAAACCCAGGGCCTCAGGCATGCAAGGCAAGCGCTCTACCACTGAGCCACCTTCCCAGCTGTAGTTAACTCTATATTGCAGATTCCAAATCAGAATTGATTTTGCAATGCAACCTGTATTCTCTGTATTGCAGCTCAGAATCTTCTGAGCTCCAGTTTGGACCTGGTTTCTAAATCTGGCTACCCAATGAGAACTACCTTTAGAGTACTTGAAACCTAGATTCCTTCAAGTAGGCCTCTCTCAACCTCCATTTTAATTCATTAGATCTAAAGTACAAAACCTGATCAAGTTCATGTTTGTAATCCTACCTACTCAGTTTTGCAGTTTTGCAATTCAGAGGACTACAGTTTGAAGCTAGCCAGCAACAAAAAGCTGGTCTCAGGTGGTTGTCTGAGGAGGGAGGTCAAAACCAGTTCAGTAACCAGCAAAAAGCCAGAAGTGAGGGTGTGACTTAAGTGGTAGAGTGCCAGCCAAGGGAGAGCAAAAAGTTGTATGTTTAAGCCCTAGTATTACACAGATACGCACACACATAAATCAAATGGTAGAGTGCCAGCCTAGCAAGGCCCGGAGTCAAACATGGTAACAGAAAAAAGAAAAGAAAATGGGTAAAGATGGGAAGGAGTGAAGGAACAGAAGACATTGTGCAAAAGGAAATGTAAGCAGGGGGTCAGTGGCTCATGCCTATAATCCTAGCTACACAGGAGGCTGAGATCTGAGGAATGCGGTTCAAAGCCAGCCTGGGCAGGAAAGTCCATGAGATTTTTTTTTTCATTTTTGTTGGTCATGGGGCCTGAACTGTGGGCCTGGGTGCTGTCCCTCAGCTATTCAGCTCAAGGATAGCACTCTACCACTTGAGCCACAGCTCCACTTCCAGCTTTTTCTGCTTATGTGGTGCTGAGGAATCGAACCCAGGGCCTCAAGCATGCAAGGCAAGCACTCCACCACTGAGCCACCTTCTCAATCCCCCATGAGACTCTTATCTCCAATAAACCACCAGAAAATCAGAAGTGGCACTGTGACTCCAGTGGTAGAGCACTATCCTTGAGCTGAAGAGCTGAGGGACAAGGCCCAGGACCCAGAGTTCAAGCCCTACGACTAACAAAAAAAGAAAGAAAGAAATGTTTCTATTACCTAACTCATGTAATTTTTTTTTTTTTTGTCAGTTGTGGGGCCTGAACTCTGGGCCTGGGCGCTGTCCCTCAGCTCTTCAGCTAAAGGCTAGCACTCTAACACTTGCTAACTCATGTAATTGTAATCCCTCAGTACATCACCTTTATAACAACAATAAACTAACCTAAAGAGGGCTGGGAATGTGGCTCAGTGGTAGAGTGCTTGCCTTGCAGGTATGAGGCCCTGGGTTTGATTCCTGAGCAACACATAGGCAGAAAAAGCTGGAAGTGATGCTGTGACTCAAAGTGGTAGAGCCCTGGGTTTGATTCCTCAATACCACATAAACAGAAAAAGCTGGAAGTGATGCTGTAGCTCAAGTGGTGGAGTGTTAGCCTTGAGCAAAAGAGCTCAGGGACAGTGCTCAGGCTCTGAGTTCAAGCCAAAAAAAATAAGAAAAAGAAGAAAGAAAGAAGCCCAGGTGCCAGTGGCTCAAGCCTGTAATCCTAGCTACTCAGGAGGCTGAGATCTGAGGATTGAGGTTCAGCCCAAGGAAGGGAAGTCCAGGAAACTCTTATCTCCAATAAACTGCTAGAAAACCAGAAGTGGTGCTGTGACTCAAAGTGGTAGAGCACTAGCCTTGAGCTAAAGAGCTCAGGAACAGGGCCAAGACCCTGAGTTCAAGCCCCACAATGACACAAAAATAAGTAATCCCAAAATTGATTATTACATGGATTTTTAAATCTTCCCATTAATGTCTGAATCTTTCTCAGTCTTAACTGATAGGCCAGGTTTTGGTAATTATGAACAGGAACTAGTCCATCAGAAAAAACTACCTCTCAGAAAATAGCATCATTAGTTACACAATTATCTGAGATACCACTCATACCTCACTAGCTAAACTTTTTTTTCTTCTCCAGAACTGGGAGTAAAATACAGGGCCTCATATGTTTGACAAGTGTTTTTACTATTAACCTAAATTCTCAATCCTTGAACTTACTCTCTTTGTTGAGCCTTGCTATGTAACCTAGGTTGTCTACAATCCTCCTGCCTCAGCCTCCCAAGTGCTGAGATTGAAGACTTGCACAACCACAACTGGTTTTGCCTATTTTTTTATTGTCTTTCTTTTTTTTTGGGGGGGGGTCCAGTCGTGGTGCCTGAACTCTGGGCCTGGGCACTGTCCCTCAGCTCTTCAGCTCTACCACTTGAGCCACAGAGCCACTTCCGGCTTTTTTCTTTTTGCTTATGTGGTGCTGCGGAGTCGAACCCAGGGCCTCAGGCATGCAATGCAAGCGCTCTACCACTGAGCCACCTTCCCAGCCCCTTTTTATTGTCTTTCTTGTAATTGGTTGATTTACTACTGTATCTCAGATTTAGAATTAGGTACAAAATAAGAGCTCATTAAGTCTATGTAGAATGAACAGGCCCACAAATTGACTATTAAGCATTATAATTTTATACAGTAAAAAGTAGTTTTCCTCTGCAGTACTTATCAGATTTAAGTTCTCTCTAAGGAGGTTAAAGTTTGAGTAAAAGGGGCCAAAAGTCTGGAGGAGTGGTTCAAGTTGATATAGCCCTTTGCTGGTAATCACAAACCCTAAGTTCAAACTCCGGCACAGCCAAAAAAGGCAGAAGTGGGCAAAAACTAGAGCTAAACAGCAACTGTAAGATGCAAAAGTGCTAGAAAACAAGGTGTAATCTGAGTGAGTTCTTGGAATTTAAGATATCAAGATTCAAGGCTGACGATGTGGATCAAGGATGGAGTGCTGGCAAAAGCACACATAAGGACTCTGTTTTGATCCCAGCTACCCACACACAGCCAAGCTTAAAAATTCAGCAGTTAGGGCTTAATGGTAGAGTGCTTGCCTTGAATGCATGAAGCCCTGGGTTCGTTTCCTCAATACCACATACACAGAAAAAGCTGGAAGTGGCACTGTGGCTCAAGTGGTAGAGTGCTAATCTTGAGCAAAAGAAGCTCAGGGAAGGTGCCCAGGCCCAGAGTTCAAGCTCCAAGATTGGCCAAAAAAAAAAAAAAACCTGCATTTAATGTAACTTTCTTCTACATGTTTGCCTCCCACGCTGAACAGTGACAGTCTGAGTATCTGAAGGCAGTTTTCGAACTTGGATAGATTTGGATGGAACTTTGTCATTCACAAATAATTTGAGTGTGTTCACATCTGTGAAACTCGGGCAACAATAGTATCTACCCTCTTGGAATTGAAAAACTGAAAGTCCATAGATAACATGCCTGGCACGGAGGCTCACCAAACGTAAACTAATTATTAGGTTTAAGTTGCCTTAGAACTCCGTTCTCCCCTTCACCCACTCTGGACCTCAAGAACCTCCCGAGGACACCCCTAACCTTCAAAGGCCACGCCCCTCGGATTTTCTGAAACCCCGCCCCCTACAAGGCTAACCGGGGCCTCTGCAGCCCACCCAAAATCCAGTCCCGTCCCTCAAGTACCTGACCCATAGCGCACGTCATGTGAGTGCAGTCGGACGTTGTGGCGCGTGTTGAGGAGCTTCACCACGGAGCCGCAAGTGACCACAGCCAGACTGGACGCTCCCACGGCGCTCCACAAACCTCCCAACAACAGTAGCGGCACGACCACCATCCTCACCGGATCACTGAGCCCCTGCAATTCCAAGAAAGCTTGGCCCTCCCCGGAACCGGAAGCGGAGGGCGGACCCACGGGGAGAAGGAAGTCCTCATCTCATCTGTAGGGTTCGCTGAGCAGAGCGGCCGGAGGAGCAACCCCGGTCAGGTTGCCGTGAATTACGGCAGCTGTCTTCCTGAAGCACTTTTTGTGCCAGCTTTCTGACCTTTGGGACGGACGAAGAACAAACTCCACCCCCTGCCAGAGTCAGGTGGAAAACAGAGCAAGTGGTCCACCCACTCCCAGTGACAGCGAGCCGGAAGTGACGTAGGACGTTACGCAGCTGCGGCGACGGTGGCGGCGGAGGGGCCGTGCGGTGGGTCCGTACTATCCTTTCCCAGTCTCGGTTCGACGACTCCATTTTCCTCGGTGGGGGTTCAGTGCACGGTGGGAGCGGCGGCCTTCAAGCAGGTAAAGTTTGCCTTGGAGAGTGTTTTTCTCCCATGGGTCAGCTGGGGACAGGACTCCTAGGGCCTGGTCCCGTAAGGGAAGAGGTATTGGGGAGCCGTCTGCGGGAAGAAGGGGCCCCTGGCCTTTCCTGTTCTGCGGAGGGGGGAGGGGGGAAGGGAAGCCGGGTAGTTTTCTTAGAATCTCAAGGCTAGTTTCAACGCAGTAACACCCGGGACCTGTGAATTTGAGTTGCCGGTTGAATCAACAGGCTTCCTTGGATCCCAGCCTTCTCTCGCATCTTCTGGAAACTGGGCCACTAGAAAGAATTGGGAATGGAAGGGATCTAGGGCTTGTGACTTGGGATCAGGTGATTGAATTAATTTGTTCTGGGGATGCGAATCCTACTGGGATTTCAGCTGTTCAGCCGTATGTCTATAGGCACATGCTAAATTTTAGCTCTTCTCGTTTTTTATTGGGTGAACTTTTTGTAGAAGACTGGATCTTAAATATCAGAGATCTTGTAAAGGTACCTGAAGCCTTTTTTTTTTTTTCCAAAAACCTAACTGTGAACATCAGGATGGGTCAAGTCGAAGCTTTATCCTCTACAGTTTGTTCCTTTTTCTCCCTTGAACTAGTTTAAGCAGTTGTTTCCCTGGATTGTCACTAGAATGGATACTTACTTTCCTTTAGGAAGAGGTTTAAGGTCTCTGAGAATACTTACATGGAAATCCCTTGTGATAGCAGAAGTGTCAAGAGAGTTTAAATCTAAGCCGATTATGAACAATAACTAATTTGGTTTATTTCTTTGAAAGAAACGTTTAGTGCCATGTGGACTTGAAATTGCCAGTTCTTTAGTCTTCAGTGAAGCTGAGACAGGGATCATCAGTTTGAAGCTAGACTAGGGTGCCTACTGAGTCTAAAAAGAAAATAATTAAAGCTGAGAATGTGTGGCTTAGTGGTAGAGTCCTTGCCTAACATGCATGAAGCCCTGGGTTCAATTCCTCAGTACCACATAAACAGAAAACAGAAAAAGCCGGAAATGGCGCTGTGGCTCAAGTAGAGTGCTAGCCTTGAGCAGAAGCTCAGGGACAGTGCCCAGGCCCTGAGTTCAAGCCCCAAGACTGGCAAAATGAATAGAATAGAATAAGGAAGCATAATTGCTTTCCTATCAGCTGTGAATTTAAGACCCTCTTCCAGCTTCAAGTTAATTTTATTGAGTTGACTTGTGTGGCTTCAGATTAGATTAGTTAAGTATTATACTCTAAGAGGCTTTAATCTGGTGGCATTAATCACATCCGAAAGTGGTACAATGAGGAATTAGCATTTACAATCTTTTCTCCTGAAGGCCTCCTTCACAAAAAAGAAAATTCACCTATTGTGATGGAAACCTGATCTTTGGAGGCAAATAACTTTGCCCTTGCTTCTGTGTTCTTGGTCTCAGAAATGTCACTGTAATCAATAGTGAATCAATATAGTCAATCACCAAGAAATATCTCTCAACATTTCAATTCAATTCTGGTATCCCTCACTCCTTCACGTGTATCTTCAAATATCATCCGTTTTTTTTTGGGGGGGGGTGGCTCCAGTCGGTCATAGAGCTTGAACTCAGGGCCTGGGCTCTGGTGCTGTACCTGAATTCTTGCTCAAGGCCATCACTCTACCACTTGAGCCACAGCGCCGCTTCCAGTTTTTATAGTGGTTAATTGGAGATAAGAGTGTCACAGGGGTTGGGAATGTGGCTTAATGGTAGAGTCTTTGCCTAGCATGCATGAAGTCCTGGGTTCAAGTCCTCAGTACCACATAAACAGAAAAAGCTGGTAGTGGCACTGTGGCTCAAGTGGTAGAGTGCTAGCCTTGAGCAAAAGAAACTCAGAGACAGTGCCCAGGCCCTGAATTCAAGCCTCAGGATTGCACCCCCCCCCAAAAAAAAAAAGTGTCATGGCAAGCACTCTGAGCTACCTTCCCAGCCCAGTGTCATGGATTTTCTTTCCTAGGCTAGTTTTGAGCCTCAATCTTCAGATCTCAGCCTCCTGAGTAGCTAGGATTACAAGGGTGAACCACCAGCACCCCACCTATCATGCTTTTTTTTCTTTTGAGACAGAGTTTTGTTGGGTAGTTTGAGGCTGGAATGACAGGTGTGTACCTGGTTTCATTATCTTAAGTTTTAAAATTTCCCTTCATAACCAGATGTCTACCTGTGCCAGTTCAACTTTCTTACTTTGTATTCATGCTTCAAAGTATACTAATTTGACTTTTTTCTCAGTCCATGGAGATTGCTTTTATGGGTCATCAGTGACTTCTGTGTTGTTCTCATCTTCTTCAGTATCTGAAGAATCTAACAGCTGCTTTTTTTGTGTGTACCTTTACTGGGGCTTGAACTCAGGGCCTGGGCACTATCCTTGAGCTTTTTTGCTCAAGATAGTATGGTACCACTTGATCCACCGTTCTACTTCTGGCTTTTGGTGGTTGACTGGAGGTAAGTCTCATGGACTTTTCTACCTGGGCTGGCTTTGAACCTTGATCCTCAGCCTCTTAATCTCAGCCTCTTGAATAACTGGGAGTACAGGGCTTAAGCTACCAGAACCTGGCTTCCTTTCTTAAAATTCTCTCTTGTCGGGCTGGGAAGAGTGCCTGCCTCACAATCATTAGGCCCTGGGTTCAGTTCCTCAGCACTACATAAGCAGAAAAAGCTGGAAGTGGTGCTGTGGCTCAAGTGGTAGAGCACTAGCCTTGAGCTGAAATGCTGAGGGACAGTGCCCAGGCCCAGAGCTCAAGCCCCATAACTGATTTTTTAAAAATAATTCTATTTTGTCTTCACTGACATTTTACCCTTACATTTTCTTCATTTGTCTGACTGTTCTTTTTCAGTTTGTTTGAGACAATGTCTTGCTGTATAGCCCAAGCTGTTTTCAAACTTGCAATCCTCCTGTGTCAGCCTCCTGAGTCCTTCAGTTTACTTTATTAAACACTTTTTCTTCTCTATCCAATATCAAAATGTTGGATTTTTCTCAGGGTTTGTTGCTGAATCCTCTTTTAGGACTTTACCATTTCAAAGCTGACAACTCCTGGGTTTAAATATTATAGGCCAGTTTGCTCTCTGTGCTCCAGAATTATAATATCAGAATACCAGCTTAATTATCTACACTTGGATATGTCCTAGGCAACCCAGAGCTAACATAACCAAAAGAAAATTAATGGTTTCTCATCATTCCAAACCTAGTGTTCCCCATCTCACAGGTAGTATTCACGTCCACATGATTACTAAAACCAAACCTCCAAGAATCGTCTTTGATTATTTTTTCTTACTCCTCTTTCCCAACCTTTCAGTAAGTCCTGTAACTTTTACCTCCAAAATACAGGTCAAACCTGTCTTTTCTACACTGCTAGCAACCTATTCTAAGCCACCATCATCCTTTTCTTGGCCTACCACAATATTTTCCCTATGATGCTACTTAAATTCTCATCCCATCCATTTTCCATCTACCAGGATCCTGTCAAGTTAGACAGTATCATTTCTCCACTTAAAATTCCAGAGGTGTGGCTAAGTGCTGATGGCTCACACCTGTAATCCTACTTACTCAGGAGGCTGAGATCTGAGAGTTGAGATTGGAAGCCAGCAACAGGCAGGAAAGTCTGTGAGGGTCTTATCTCTAATTAAACAACAAAAAAGCCAGAACTGAAGCTGTGTCTCAAATACTAGAGTACTAACCTTGAGCACAAAAACTCAGGGGCAGCCGGGCGCTGGTGGCTCACGCCTGTAATCCTAGCTACTCAGGAGGCTGAGATCTGAGGATCGCGGTTCAAAGCCAGCCCGGGCTGGAGAGACCGTGAGACTCCTATCTCCAATAAACCACCAGAAAACCGGAAGTGGCGCTGTAGCTCAAGTGGTAGAGCGCTCACCTTGAGCTGAAGAGCTGAGGGACAGCGCCCAGGCCCAAGCCCCATGACCGACAAAAAAAAAACAAAAAAAACTCAGGGGCAATGCCCAGGCCCTGAGTTTAAGCCCCGGGATTGCCCCCCCACACACACACAAAATTAATAATAACTCCAGTGGCTTTCCAGGACCTTCATTCCATGCTTGAGCAAGCTCCTCCTCACTCTTAAGGTCAAAACCAAGTTAGATTTCCATATTATGGGATCCCATATAGTATCCTCATCTGTGCTGTATTTGTGTTTGAGGTTTTGTTGTTGTTTTTGAGGCCAGGGTGACCTACCTCCATGTTGCCTTGGCTTCCTCTTGCCTTCAGCCTCCCCTTACAGGTACCATCATGCCTGGAACTGTATTTTATTTTTGGTAGTATGGAATTTGAATTGAGGGCTTTGCCTTTGCTAGACAGGGACTCTACCACATGAATTTTGCCTTCAGTCCTCTTGGTTTAGTTGTTTAAAATAAGTTTTCACATTTTTCCCTGGGTTTGTATTAGATGGTGATCTTACTACCTATGCCTCGCAGTAGCTGGGATTACAGGCATCCCTCACCACACCTGGCCTATTTCAACATACTGGTTTGGTGTGATTACGTTTCTTTTTTTTTTTTTTTTCCCAAATTCTTTATTGTGATTAAGTGGTTACATAATTCCCCAAATTTCACAGTATTGTGGGATAGTTAAAGTCACAAACATGTTCTGACTTTCATGGGGCAAGTTGTCTATCATGGTCTATAACATTTAAGAGTTCTATGGGCTTTGCAATACTTATTTCTTCCACATTGGGTGATACGTACATTTCTTTTGTTTTGCATAGCATCAGCTGTTCCCTCTTTCCCACTGTTCCCTCCTTCCCATCACTACCATTGAGTTCCTTCATTTTGATCAAATGTCCAGTGCAGCTGATGGGTCCTGCTGTTGTATGGTTTTCCCTGATTCCCTCTGGTTCTGTGTCCTCCTCCTGGTTTCCCTCCAGTGTGCACATGTATACCATATATGTGATGAGCAGCATGGGGTTATTTAGTAGTGATTCGACCAGATGAGTTGGAAGTCCTTTGTTTCTTGTTAATTTTGTTGTATCACCTTACATTTTGGATTTAACATCCACTTATCGGGGAGACCATGTGCCATTTGTCTCTTTGCTCTTGGCTTACCTCGCTCAAGATGATTTCTTCTAGCTCCATCCATTTCCCTGCAAATGCCATTATTTTGTCCTTTCTAATGGCTGCATAATATTCCATGGTGTATAGATACCACAATTTTTGGATCCATTCATCTGTGGTGGGACATCTGGGTTGTTTCTATATCCTGGCTATTGTGAACAGTGCTGCAATAAACATGGAGGTGCATGTGTCCTTGTATACTGGTTCCTGTTGTTCAGGATAGATGCCTAGAAGTGGTATGACTGGGTCATAAGGGAGGCCAATATTTAGCTTTCTGAGGACCCTCCAGACTGCTTTCCAAAGTGGTTGGATAAGTGTACATTCCCACCAGCAGTGTAATAGGGTTCCTCTTTCTCTGCATCCCCTCCAGCATTTGTCGTTGGCTGAGTGATTACGTTTCTTTATAATAGTTCTGTATCCTCAATTTAAGAGAATTTCAGTCAACTGAAATGTTATTTACCAAAGTTTTATACTTGCTAAACTCTTAGGGTTTTTTTTTTTTGAATGGCTATTCACTCATTACTACCTCTCAAATAAACCTAGGCCTTGATTACAAAATACAGAGTGAGAAATGTGATTTAAACTGCATAGCAAACTGCTAAGGCCATTCCTCAAATGACCAGACTCTTTCAAACCAAGATTTTGTCAATGTGTCTTTTTCCAGACTACATTCTTACCTCTTAACTCATCTTTTCTGAGGTATTCCCCAATCTGTCTTCAGATTACCCTCATCTTCCTAGCATATACCTTAATATAACATTAATTATAGTGCTTTTGTTTTCATTTTGCTTTTATTTGTTGGAGATATAGTCCCTAGTAGACACTCTACTGAGCTACACCCCCAGCCTCAATCATGTTTTGTCATAATTTTATTTACAAGATTTTAAGTTTGTTTTTTTTTTTTGATTGGTCGTGGGGACTGAACTCTGGGCCTGGGTGAGCTCAAGGCTAGTACTCTACCACTTGAGCCACAGTGCTACTTCTGACTTTTTCTGCTTATGTGGTGCTGAGGAATCAAACCCAGGACCTCATGCATGCATGGCAAGCACTCCACCACTGAGCTACCTTCCCAGCCCTTGTTTCTTTGTTTTTGAGAAAGATTGTGAGCTCCAGAGTAGGAAGCTTATTTACTCATTTTTACATGCTCAAGGCCTAGCACAGAGCTTGGCCCTAAAAAAAGAAAAAAAAACTGAATGTTAATTGAAACTCTATTGTAGAAGGAATTAACAGACTAGGTCTCTTTAAGTCTGGTCTCCCCTTAATTGGCTCTTATAACTTCTTGTTTAAAGGGAGGAACTGTAAAGGCCCTCCCCTGTGGCAGTCTGATCCTAGCTCCATTCCTGTTCCAGAGACTGTCATGGTAACCACCAGCCTCTTCCTTTGAGCTACATCTTATACAGATGCAGCTGTGATTCTGTCTGAAGGAACTGTTCCCCTCTAACAACTCACTAGAAAAACTATATCAATTACAAATTTAATGTTCAGTCTGAATGTAGGGGAATTTTTGAAAAGTAAAAACGTTAAATGCAAAATCCAAACTGTATCAGGCTTGTCCCAGATAAGAAATATTAATAATAACCTTATGCAAACAGGTAATTCTTGTCTTTGTTCTGGAGTAGTTGCTGCTTGGCATTTTTAGCTTTCAGTGCTGTTGCAGCACTCTGCACATCTAGGTCCTACAAATGCAGGTTGGGATTGCTTCTGGCATACCTGGAAATCTTGGCATTTAGCTAGACTGGAAGCCTTTCCCAACTATAGCATTGTTTGTGCTTTATTACTGACCTATGCTAGTAGGGGAGAGAACATAGCTTTCTCTCCAAGCTGAATGCAACACAGGGCACTGATTACCCCCAGGATTGAGGAAGGCCACTTTTTTTTTTTAAATCAGGTTGGCAGTCTTATATCTGTCAGTTAAGTAGGCTGAAGGCATATGGTTAGCAATTAACAGGAGTTGGCATCTGATTTGAAGGTATAGGGTCTTAAAAACTGAATTCACGGGCTTGGAATGTGGCTTAGTGATAAGAGTGCTTGCCTAGCATGCATGAAGCCCTAGGTTCAATTCCTCAGTACTATATAAACAGAAAAAGGTAGAAGGGGCCCTGTGGTTCAAATGGTAAAGTGCCAAGCTCAGGGACGGTGTCCAGGTCATGAGTTCAAGCTCCAGGACTGGCAAAAAAAACAAAACAAAACACTGATAGCTTAAAATAAACTATGATCCAGGCCCCAGTGGCTCACACCTGTAATTCTAGATATTAAGGAGGCTCATATCTGAGGATCTAGGTTCAAAGCCAGCCCGACAGGAAAATGTATGACACTCTTATCTACAGTTAACCACCAAAAGCAGAGGTATGGCTGAAATGGTAAAGTATCAGCCTTGAGCACAAAAAGCTAAGGGACCATGCCAAGGTTCTGAGTTCAAGCCCCAGGATTGGCTCATACATACACAAAAAAGCTTAGAGACAGTGTCCCAAGCACACATTAAAAAAAGAAAGAAAGAAAAAAAAAACACCTTTCATAAAATTGATTTCCTCTGATCAAGTCATATAATCTGTGCCATCGTATACTTCCACTTATTATCACTACGTTATTAGTTTTCTCATCCGCCCATTCACATATACAAGTCCTAGACATAATTTTTTTAAGCACATGTAAGAGGATTGCACCTGTGAGGAATGAGAAATAGAAAAGATGGAGAAAGGTTGATTTTGTTTGTTTCCTGGTTGGTTGGTGACAAAGGATCAAGCCAAGACCTTGTGCAGATGTTATATCACTGAGCTATACTCTTTAGATCCAGCCATCTGGATCTTACTCAATTGGAAATGATTTGAGTGGACAGAATTGGAGCAGATAGCTAAAAAACATTTTCTGTGAAGATGTAAGAGTCCTCCATAGCCGGGTGCCGGTGACTCATGCCTGTAATCCTAGCCACTCAGAAGCCTGAGATCTGAGGATCTCCGTTTAAAGCCAGCCCGGGCAGGAAAGTCCATGAGACTCTTATCTTCAATAAGCCAGTAGAAAACTGGAAGTGGCACTGTGGTTCAAGTGGTAGAGTGCTCGGCCTTGAGCTGAAGAACGCAGGGACAGTGCCCAAGCCCAGAGTTCAAGCCCCACGACCGATCCAAAAAAAAAAAAAGAGTCCTCTATAAAATCACATGCCTCATTTTTTCCTCATCCCTTCCCCTTCCCTAGTCTTCTTCAGGTAGGCTGTAAGGAGCTACAGCAATGTCTGATTTTGTGGAAAGTGAAGCTGAGGAATCAGAAGAAGAATACAATGATGAAGGAGAAGTGGTGCCCAGAGTCACCAAGAAGTTTGTGGAAGAGGAAGATGATGGTGAGGAGGCCCCAGCCTCAAGCTTCTCCCCACTATTGCTAAGCTTTGGATAGTTGGATTCTTGCTGATGAAAGGCTCAGGCTGAGCACAGAAGTTCTCACACATGAGGTACCAGCTTGAGAACATTCAGTCATTCTTAGAAAATGCTTAGAGCATCTATGCTATCTGCTGTATACCAAGCACTGTGCCTAGAACTAGGGAGACAAAACAAAGACTCACTACTGCATATATTAGTGGGTGTTTATATTCAATGGGTGGGAACAAACAACCCAGTAAGTGAATCTGTACATAATACTTCCTGATTTTAGCCCTTGCTGTGTTTATGCACCCAGTTACTTATATCTCTGGCCAAGCCCACCCTTTGGGATCATTAGAGTAGAACTGTGAGATAATTTTAAAGGAGACAAGGGAGACATTTTATCAGAAGTTTAAGGAAAGAATGTAGCTGCTAAGATTATAAACTGAAGGAACTAGCTTATTGGTAGATATAAAGCTATAAAGGAGGCAAAATAATTAGCAAGATTGTCTTTCCTAAAGACAGATGGTGAACATGGGAAAGGAACTATCCTTTGCAGTTGCTGGTGCTTCAAGTTGATAAACATGTTTTATGCCTTTACACGAAGCAGAAGAGTGAACATGGCACTTGGTTCATTAAGTTTGGCAGATAGATAATTGCAGTTAAGCAGGTGGCTCTGCTGCATTCCCTGCCTAATCCCTGATCTCCATGCCTTGAAACCTGCATGATTCCAGATGAGGAGGAAGAGGAAGAGAACCTAGATGATCAAGATGAGCAAGGCAATCTGAAAGGATTTATCAATGATGATGATGATGAAGATGAAGGGGAGGAGGAGGGCAGTGATTCTGGAGATTCAGAAGATGATGTTGGCCACAAGAAGAGAAAACGCAGTGAGTAGTCTATTTTCAGGGCAGATGAGACAGGTGGAAGTTGCAGTGGGGAAGGGATCTCCCAGCTGCTATGGGTAACACTTTGTTTTCTTTAGCCTCTTTTGATGACCGCCTGGAGGATGATGATTTTGACCTCATCGAGGAGAATTTGGGTGTCAAACTTAAACGAGGAGTGAGTATTTTTGTACTGTTTTATCCTTGTCCCAAGGGACAAAGAAAAACCTCTTCGAAACTGTCTTCTTGGGAGAAGAGGCACATCCTAAGAACCTAAGAAAGAGAAAGCTGTTCAGTATTAGAGTATTGTGGAGCCTGGGTTTGTGTCCCATATCTGGGTGCCTATTGGATAAAGGCTTATCATTTTGCAAGGTGGTCCTTGGGTCTGAAAGAGCATCATTCAGCATGTTCTTTCCTATCACCTATGGCAAGTATAATTGTGTAGGAAGATGGAAATGAGATTGGGAGAGTGGATATCCTTTGGGCAGACTCCTCAGATCCTGACAAAGCAAGCTTTCTCACCACCAGCAAAAGTACCGACGTGTCAAAAAGATGTCAGATGATGAAGATGATGATGAAGAGGAGTATGGCAAGGAGGAACATGAAAAAGAGGCTATTGCAGAGGAAATCTTCCAGGATGGGGAAGGGGAAGAAGGACAGGAGGCTGTGGAGGCCCCCATGGCTCCTCCAGAGGAAGAGGAGGAAGATGATGAAGAGTCAGGTATGTAGCACTGGGCAGGAAAGCCAGTGTTTAGATGATTTGGGGGTATCTTCTGGTATCTTTGTAGGAATAGTATGGTAAACCATTCCACAGTCCCTAGCATTTGACACAAGGGAATTCCCTTTTAGAAACCACCCTGCCCTTCTTACTGGCAGGAACTAAAGCTATTCAGCCCAGGCTCAGTCCCTGACTAAACATTCACCTGTCCCTTCCTACCTAGATATTGACGACTTCATCGTGGATGATGATGGGCAGCCTCTGAAGAAACCTAAGTGGCGGAAAAAACTTCCTGGATACACAGATGCGTGAGTGGGGTCTGATACATGGTGCTGATAAAGGCTTTATTGGGATCACTTAGGTAGGAGGACAAAGGCCTCTACCAATGAGACGTGGCTCTTGGCCATTTTGCTTCTGTGCCTTAAAGTCACTAGCAGTGACTTCCACCCACTCCTGCAAGCCCTCAGAGCTCTCTAAGAAATTAGAATGGAGTCCCACATAAGCAGGGCTCCAGCATCCCTCTTCCACCTGCAACTCTCATTTTTATTCATTTCTGGATTGACCTTCTAAATTTAATTTTGTGCCTGGATCAGAGTTTAAAAGTTTGAAAGCTTTTACTATAAGGGAATGCTGTAATGTCTTAGCAGAAGGTAGATTCACTGAGTAGGGTATGGGCCTATCTGCCCTATTGCTGTTCTATTCTTGTCATTGGTAGGAATACTGATAAAGAATATTTTGCCTAGTAGTATCCTCCATCTTCACTACTCAACAGTGAATATGGTTCTCCTTTCATCTTCTTAGTCACTGGGACATATTTTATGTTCTTCTCTCATCTGATCCTGAGCCTCTTGTTCTCACAGAGCCTTGCAAGAAGCCCAGGAGATCTTTGGTGTGGACTTTGACTATGATGAATTTGAGAAATACAATGAATATGATGAAGAACTAGAAGAAGAGTATGAATATGAGGATGATGAGGCTGAGGGTGAAATCCGAGTGCGCCCAAAGAAAACCACTAAGAAGCGTGTAAGCCGCAGGAGCATCTTTGAGATGTATGAGCCCAGTGAGCTGGAAAGCAGCCATCTCACAGATCAGGACAATGAAATCAGAGCCACTGACCTTCCTGAAAGGTTCCAGGTAAGAAACTACAATCTTCTGCCTTCTGGGGATCTGCTATCACTTTGTAATCAAGAAACAATCTTACAGCCATTTGACACTAAACAATGTTGAGCAACCCTGTCTATTCCATGTCCAGGTCTTAGAGGAAGGAAGGTAGATTAGAACCCTGCTTATAGTTCTTGAAATGATATTCTTTTCTTTTTTAGCTTATATCAGCTATATACAAGAAGGAATTTCATTGTGACATTTTCACTCATGTATACAATGTACTCACCCTCATCGCTTCCTGACCTGCCTCCTGGATTTCTAATATTATTTCAAGAGGTTTCACTGTTCGAATCTCATACTTGACAACAATTTATTCCCACCCAAACCCCTCTTGTTCGCCCAAACCCGTCTCAATAGTTGGGTATAAATGAGCGTCTTCCCTAGATACAGCCAGTCTCACCTTGTTTTCCATTGCAGCTCCGTTCCATCCCAGTCAAGGGGGCTGAAGATGATGAACTAGAAGAAGAAGCTGACTGGATCTACAGAAATGCCTTTGCCACACCAACCATTTCTTTACAGGTACTCAAATGAGATCTTAGAGGTTTTTGTGGATTTATTTCTGGTGTGGTATTGGGTTTTGTTTTATTTTGTTTTTTTTTGTGACAGTACTAGAACTCATGTCTCATACTTGTTGTCATTCTTTCACCTGAGCTATACTTTTAGCCCTGTTTTTGTGCTAGTTATTTTGGAGATGGAGTACAGTGAACTTTTCTACCCAGGCAGGCTTTGAACTACAATTTTCCAGAAATGCAGACATGAGCCACCAGCACTTGGCTGGTACTGGGATATAAGCTCAGGGCTTCACATTGCTGCATAGGTACTCTGCCTATAGCTCTTTTTGTTCTGGCTATTTTGAGATAAGGTCTTGATTTTTGCCTTGGCTGCAGGACTATGATTATCCTTTTTATACTTCCTACCTTAGCTGCAATTAATAGGCATGCACCACCATGCCTAGCTTTTTCTGTTAAGGTGAGGTCTAATGAACTTTTTTGTCTTGACTGGTCTAGAACTGAAATTCTTCTGATTTCTACCTCCTTAATAGCTAGGATTGGGGCTGGGAAGGTAGTTCAGTGGTAGAGCGCTTGCCTTGTATGCATGAGGCCCTAGGTTTGATTCCTCAGCTCTACATAAGCAGAAAAAGCCGAAAGTGGCGCTATGGCTCAAGCGGTAGAGTGCTAACCTTGAGCTGAAGTGCTGAGGGACAGTGCCCAGGCCCAGAGTTCAGGCCCCACTGCCAACCAAAAAAAAAAAAAAAAGCTAGGATTATAGGCAACAGCCACTGGTGCCTGGCTGCAATCCTTAGCTTTTGACATGAATCAGAAGCCATTTGATTAAACTGTGAAGTCACTTCTCCCCTTCTCTGCCCCATGTATCTACATGTTTATACATTTTAGATTTTTTTTCAGACAAGGTATTCTGTATTATTTAACTGATTTTTGTGGTAAGACAAAGCAAAAGTAAATAACAGTGTCTTACTGAGTTGCGTTGTTTGTTTTTTCCTACTGTAGGAAAGCTGTGATTACCTAGACCGGGGACAACCAAGCAGCAGTTTCAGTCGTAAAGGGCCTAGCACCATTCAGAAGATCAAGGAGGCCCTAGGCTTCATGCGAAATCAGCATTTTGAGGTAGCACCTCAAGCTCTAGTGGTTAGAATTTCAATTAAAGAGCTGGGAACGTGGCTCAATGGTAGAGTGCTTGCCTCGCATGTATGAGGCCCTGGGTTCAATTCCTCAGCACCACATAAGCAGAAAAAGCCAGAAGTGACACTAGCTCAAGTGGTAGAGCGCTCGCCTTGAGCTGAAGAGCTGAGGGATGGTGCCCAGGCCCAGAGTTCAAGGCCCACGATCAACCAAAAAAAAGAATTTCAATTAAAGGATAAAAGAAAGGGAGATACCTAAGTCAGGTCAAACCCATTCCCAACTCTTAGAAGTGGGTCTTTAACTCAGGAAGTATTAGGACCAACTAAGACACTAATCATTACGAGAACAGGGCTACTTAGCTATAATATTGTCTTCCCCTGTTGACAAGAGCATTGCTCTGGGTTGCCTGTGTGGAAGTTATGCTTGCAACTGTTGAATTTTCTGTAGCTATCCTTGCAGATCTTTCTTCTATATGACTTCAGTTTCCTTGTTACCCTAGGTGCCTTTTATTGCCTTCTACCGAAAAGAGTATGTGGAACCTGAATTACACATCAATGACCTATGGAGGGTATGGCAGTGGGATGAAAAGGTAATGTAGATACATGGCCCTCATGTGCAGACCAGGTTGGGTACTGTTACTACAAGAATACTATAAAACTATTCCCACTCAGGCCTACCAAGCTCCCCACAACAGGTCTCTTGGTAAGAGAACAAAGCACCCAGCCTTGCAACTGCAGGCTAACCACCACTTCTTACTCTCGTCCTAGTGGACTCAGCTGAGGATCCGCAAAGAGAACCTAACACGGTTATTTGAGAAGATGCAGGCTTATCAGTATGAGCAAATATCTGCTGATCCTGACAAACCTTTGGCTGATGGCATCCGGGCCCTGGACACGACAGACATGGAGAGGTAGGGCTTGCAGGGCTTTTCATAACAGGGAGCCCTCAGAACAAGGCAGGTGTCCCAGGAGTAGTGTTTCCTTGCAGGATTCACAGCATAGGGTCCGTCCCTAAGAAATCCCAACTTGTTTGCACATGAGAAGTGATTTTTCTAACACACTCATTTTAGTTCTTCATATTAGCTGTTAAAAGCCACAGCTCCACTCTGGCTTATTTGTGGTTAATTGGAGATAAAAATTCACAAACTTTCCTGCCCAGGCTGGCTTCAAACCATACTTCTCAAATCTCAGCCTCTGGAGCAGCTAGGATTACAGTGAGCGACTGGTATCCAAATTGTTACATCTATATGATTGCAGAATGCTGGTGCATGTGCTAGTTGGCATCTTGCTTCCTAAGAATTAGACTCTTGGTAGCAAAACTGTGGCATACCCCATCCACAGTGATGACTGAGATCGTATCCCTTTCTTTCAGGCTCAAGGATGTACAGTCAATGGATGAGCTGAAAGACGTCTACAACCATTTCCTGCTGTACTATGGTCGGGACATCCCCAAGATGCAAAATGCTGCAAAGGCTAGCCGCAAGAAGCTGAAGCGTGTAAGGGAGGAGGGAGATGAAGAAGGTGAGTGCTGAGAAAGAAAACCACGATACTTAACAGCCAGAGTATCTCCAAAAGTACCTTTGGCTGAGTACCCTTAGGGGCTTCTTGGCATGTCTCTTCAATCCTCATGTGAAATTAGAAACTAAAGCCTAACTTCCTTCTAATTTTCTTTACAGGGGAAGGTGAGGAAGCAGAAGATGAGGAACAGAGGGGGCCAGAGCTCAAGCAAGCCTCCCGTCGAGACATGTATACCATCTGCCAGAGCGCGGGGCTAGGTAAGTAACAGCCAGCTTCTTGGGACTTGGGCAAGAGGAGGTACCCAGGAGAAAGACTGGTAGGAAATAGAGGAAAGAATATCTGCATCAGTCTTTCTTCCAATACTTAATTAACCTAATTTACTTTATGACTTCCTAGAAACACTCTCAAGCCCATACCCACCCCTCCTTTACCATGGTGCAGCCCTAAGTTTCTGAAGTAAATAGAACCTCTCATATACTTCTACTCCATTTTTTCATTGTTGTCTGATGGCCTAATGCTGCTTTTATGTCCTTTTTTTTTTTTGATCAGTCATAGGGCTTGAACTCTGGGCCTGGGCGCTGTCCCTCAACTCTTCAGCTCAAGGCTAGCGCTCTGCCACTTGAGCCACAGCACCACTTCCGGTTTTCTAAGTGGTTTATTAGAGATAAGAGTCTCACGGGGGCTGGGAAGGTGGCTCAGTGGTAGAGTGCATGCCTTGAGCTGAAGAGCTGAGGGTCAGCGCACAGGCCCAGAGTTCAAGCCCCATGACCGACAAAAAAAAAAAAAACAAGGAAGAGCATGAGCCCCTGAGTTCCAAGCCCTAGTACTGCCCCCCAAAAAAAACAAAGTATGCCGCCTTTCGGTAGTGTAAGCCTGCCAGGGACTAGGAGCCTATGCACACATAAATACCTTCATACTTTTATTGACCAGTGATCATAATATTATTGTATCTTCGTCATAGGCCTGTAGCCGAAAGCTCTACAACTGGCTGAGGGTAGCACCCTACCGACCAGATCAGCAAGTAGAGGAAGATGATGACTTTATGGATGAGAACCAAGGGAAGGGCATTCGAGTCCTAGGCATTGCTTTCTCCTCTGCCAGGTAATGTCCCATACCTGTCTGTCCAGTACTGCCTCTTACCTTTCTTCCTCATTTCATCCTTCTCTCATTCTTATACTGCTGACTATTGCACTTCTTTTGTTTGTCTGGCTGGCTGGCAGAGATCACCCTGTATTCTGTGCCCTGGTCAATGGAGAAGGAGAAGTGACAGACTTCCTCCGGCTGCCCCATTTTACCAAACGGCGAACTGCATGGAGAGAGGAAGAGCGAGAAAAGAAGGCAAGTCTCTGGAGTAGGGGTTAGCAAGTGTGCATCTAGAGTAAATGGTGTAATTCAGTGGGATAAATGTTAAGATCTAAGCAATCTGGAATCGTTCTCTCATCTATGGGCAGTAGATGGCACTGGAGTTGTGTGGTGAGAGTTTACTTTGGGCTTGCAGCCAGCTGCTGGTTCTTGTGTGCTTCTGGAGCTGCCATGGCTTCCTCTATTCTTGATGGCATCTGGGTCAGACTGTTCCAGGAGCTGAAAGCCACTAGGGTGTTAAGCAACCTTTTCCCTACTTCAGCCTCTCAGCACCTCCTTTTTTTTCTTGGGGGGGGGGGTCTGATCATGGGGCCTGAACTCTGGGCCTGGGTGTTGTCCCTCAGCTCTTCAGCTCAAGGCTAGCACTCTACCCCTTGAGCCGCAGCGCCACTTCCGGCTTTTTTCTTTTTGCTTATGTGGTGCTGAGGAATCGAACCCAGGGCCTCAGGCATGCAAGGCAAGTGCTCTTAACACTGAGCCACCATCCAAGCCCCTCTTTTTTTTTTTAATAATTTTTTATTGAGATTAAGTAATTATACAAATTTTCAGTATTGTGGGATAGTGATACCTAAAGTCACAAACACATTTTAATCTTCACAAGGAATATTGTCATTATGGTCTTACAATGTGTGTGAATTTTATGAGCCTTGACAATACAAATATTTCTTCCATATGATAGATACATTTCTTTCCTTTTGCTTACTGTAACCTGTTCCCTCTTTCCCTATCATTCCCTCCCTCCCATAGTAGCCCTTGAGTTGCTTAGTTTATTTTCATCATTGTCCAGAGCACCTCATTTTTTAAGGACAGGAATTTAAATTCTTGTAAATATATTTCCAAGTTTCTTTTTGTGCCAATACTGGAGTTTGAACTCCCAGTTTTCTGATGTGGCTTGGCTTTTTCACCCAAGGCTGGTGCTCTACCACTTGAGCCTATACCTCTTGTAGATAAGAGTCTCACAGAAGCCTGGTTCTTGTGGCTCATACCTGTAGTCCTAGCTACTCAGGAGGCTGAGATCTGAGAGTCTCAGTTCAAAGCCAGCCTGGGCAGAAAAGTCTGTGAGATTCTTATCTCTAATCTACTCAGAAAAAGACAGAAGTGGCACTGTGGTTTAAGTAGTAAAGTGCTATCCTTGAGCACATAGAGACTCAGGGACAGCACCCAGGCCCTGAGTTTAAGCCCCAGGACTTAAAATGGATATTAGACTGTCATAGATAGTCAGACCATGGCTATATACATATGACACAAGGATATTGAGTTAGACATAGCCCAAAGTGAGCCAAAAGTATGATAATCTCAGGAAATATTACTCAGCCTCCTTTTTTTTCTTTTTTTTTTTTT